TTTATGTCATTTTATAATATCAACAATTTCTCTATTTAAATTACATCAAAAGTGATTTAGCTATCTTATGTCGAATAGACAGTAATTCAAAAACAGCGCCATAGAACTATCCTATTGATCTTGAATTGATTTAAGCTAGAAAATGAATTTTATTGAATCCGTAAAAAATCTACATTTCTACTACTTGAAGAAATGAAAATGTTTCGGCATCTTCACTTTATTATTCATCCACTGGGTTCCCAGTGGAACATATGGCCTCAACAGCACATTGCCACTACACTCTTTTCTCTGCTGTCTGACTCAGCTGGCTCCAGGACTGCCAATAAACTTTTTTTTCCTTCACGTTCCCCAGTGGAACATAGGGCTTCAAGCTAGTGGCCTGAAGTTTCTGTAACAGTGTTTATTTTACAGGATGGGGTTGCTGGCCATATGCCCAACCTTTCCTCTTCACTAGCATTATTTCTGGCTTAGCGAGGTAAAGAAGTGCGTCGGCCGGGGATCGAACCCCGGACCATGTGCATGGTCGGCGAGCGTCCTAACCGCTATGCTACCGACGCCCATAAACTTTGGTTTAGCCTTAATATGATCTTCTTCATGTGTTATCCTCAGACGCCCAACTTGTCGCTCAGCAAGAGGTTTGCACGCAAGGACCTAGTGAGTGACGTCTCTTGAATGTACCCTCCACTTATTTCCAAACCATCTCCATCTGCATATTTTTTGGACAATAGGTTATTGATTGGATCGTTGCTAGAGTTTCTCGTTGTTCATCCTACCTGGTCATCAGATTTTCAAGCAAAGGTAGCAGTTGACCATTTTTCATTTCAGAGTGATTTAACCATGCGCATAGGTGTTAACGAATGATACCACTTTGATTGGATGGAGGATTTCACCATGAGTTGACATCAGTTAGAGAACCACTGGGAAGCCTGGGAGTACAGGACAGCTGTTTCATCCTAGTTTGGGACTCTTCATCGGTACACACCTACTAGGGTTCGAAACGGCTGTCCAGTACTCCCAGGCTTCCCAGTGGTTCTCTAACTGATGTCAACTCATGATGAAATCCTCCATCCAATCAAACAAGAATCCCTACAAAACCAATACTTGATAAATACCACTGATTTGACAACTGGTGCAAACACTACAGGTCAGTATTACGTCACACTAGAAACTACAAATCCAAATAGTTTCAGTAGTGAATATCAGTGCCACTTTTTTCGTCTAACTATTTTTAGAAATGCTACAAGTAAGATTTCCGTATAACAACAGTAACATGCTGCGTAATTCAGCTCTCCCATGAATGTTAGTATCACATCTAGTGAATGCGAACTATCATGCTTTTAAACATCCTACGTTGAAACAAATGTAGTGCAGTGTCTAGATGAATGAGTCACAGCCCCACAAAAGTAGTACTCACAATGATAAAATTAAAGTTTAACAGAACAAAATATTTGGTATCCAAAAATTCCTATAGAACAAAACATTTACAAAAATAACACTATCGTTAGGTGAATACCAAAGTAGGAACTTTCCTCCCTTATCAAGAATCAATTAGAACATGATAATATATGATGATCAATAAAGAATAGCATTTATATACATAAACACCGATATGCCGAATGTGGTCAATCTATTGAGATGGTTGGGACACGTATTACAGATACTGATCCATCGCCTTCCTCGTTGAGCAGTGTTAGCTAACATTGAATTAGGTTGGAAAAGAGTTAGAGGTGGTCAGACATATATGCCATCAGTCCATGAAGTCTTTGATTGTCGGTTTGAGCCAACCACGTAGACTTGCATGACTGGAGCCCTAGAGACGCCAGGAATCAATGACTGGAGACTGTTGATGAGATAGCTCGTAATCCTTCTTAATGGTGCAAGATGTATTCTCACTCTTTATGAACTCCTAGATCCATCAACCTTTCATTATTCTTTAAGTATTATTTCTTCTCCTGAATATTTTCACTCATTATAGTTCCCTCGAATTTTTATGTTTTGCTACGTTTGTGTGCTGTATTGAGTGTGGCAACTCAAACTACTGTTCTTCTTTCCAAAGTTCTACGTTGAAACTTAGTCAGTCATGCTGAATGCTCAAATGATTTTATGTAATGATTAAAGGAGTTCTATGGCTGACGTAAAACAAGAGTGACACATTCTCCATACATGTCTGAGACAATACTTTTACAAACTATGACACTCTCATCTATTATTCAGGCGTGTTAAAAGTTGTATGCATTAGATGTAAAGCTGTGCGAGTCTAAAATTTCCTACAATGAAAACACACAAAGAACGCATTACTTTTGGTTTAAATGGTGAATACAATTTCCTTTTTAACAGTAATAGGAAAACAAATCAGCGCGACAAGAAAAGGTTATGTAAAAACGGATATCTGTCATAAGAAAGAATCCCCTTCCGTGTGTAACAACTAGTTGCCATTGAATAAAAATTTGAAAGATTTTTTACATTCAAACACACTATAAATCTGTCCCTGCTTCACACACCCTAAATAATCGAATTGTACTTGATTTAATATGAGCACACAGAAAAAGCTGCAACGGTTCTCTCACTGACATTAATCACTGACCAGACTTGAAAGAAATCGAATCCATATAGACTAACTCTTAGAAATTGACGTGATGTTCACATTGTGACTGACCACAGGATGACGGTGTCTAAAGTTCTAGTGAGACATTTTGACCAGTGGAGGCCACCATTTTGGGTTCAGGAGCAAATACTTACCAATGACATTGGCTGTTGATCACGCTAAAGTTGCTAAATGATAGATTCCGACCCAAATGGTTGAAAATGGTTAACGACCTTGGCCTCGTAATTTAGAGGTCTTGGGTCCAATCCCAGGTGAAGTCGCGGGGACGCGCAGTGACGAAGTCACAAACCGAGACGAAACAGCTATCCAATTTTCAATGGTTCTCTAGGAGACATCAATCTGTGATCACACTTGAAGCTACGGTGAATAATTCACTTTATATGCAGTGGTGACTGGTCAAGCCAGATGATCAACTCTCCACCAATGGATCACGAATTTTAATTAATATCCCGACTGTCGAGGTCTAGGCAGAGCCAAATAATATCACTAATCTCTATGTAATAAATATAACCTTTTGTCCAGAACACAGATATGTAGTTAGTTATTACAATACATTAGTTATTCCGTTGTATTTAATCACTACTTTTATGGTTAGATTGATGCAAAATTAACGCAGAAGCAAAGGATTAAAAAATATATATACATAAATAATATACAAAACAATTTCAAATACAAGTAAACACGACTACATGCATTAGGAAAAGACTTCTAAAACATTAACCTCGAAATGCACTGAACACATCAAGCATAAATATAAGCGGAATCTTTCATGCAAGCAAGGATTGTTTGTGTCACTTTACAGAAAAAAGAATACTTTTGATATCACTGGGACTAAGCACAGAGGACAGGACCTGGAAATTCAAGTACACCCACCTACAATATTTCTCCTGTGATATATATACATATGTGTCCCAGCTATCTAGGCAGAACATTGTTGATTACTTTACAGGGGAAACAACAGTCCTGAATTAAACAGAATGGCATACGTACTTCCAACAGAAGGAGTAGCAGTTTATAAATCTTCGTAAAGAGGAATATCATAACTCAGAATGTGAATAGGAAAGGGAGTGCAGTATTACACAATGAGGAACAGTTTCTTGTACCAAATAATTAGTATAAGTACTTATTCAGAAAGCATTAGTACTGCACGAAAAGTGTTTCCAACAGGTTACAGACTGTCGTCAACAGCCGCCTTCGCTGGCTCCACAGTGAATATCAATCAGATGGCCAGAAAGGATAAACAACAACAAGGAACTCTGACAACGAACCAACCAGCAACCCATCACCCAAAAAATATGCAGGAGATGATAATGGATTGGACATACTTTGGGAAGACCACTGAGTGATATCACGTGCCAGGCTTCCAAGTGGAATCCGAATGAATTGGGAGTTCTATGGCAACATGGTGGAGGTCGTGTGTCGAGGAAGTGAGGGCTTAAAGACAATCATACAGCCAGCTAAAGAAAGAGCACAGACGACAGAGTAAAACGGCTATGTGCCCTTGAAGTCCTCGTATTCCACTTAGGACCCAGAGCAAAAATAATTATAACAGTTTAGGGAACAGAAATTCACGTTTAATTTTGATTCATAGACAATTGAAGGAATAACCTATCCAACCAATTAACGTACCAACGAGAAATATCATAGATAATCATCAATAGCATAACAATAGAACAACATGCAGAAAAAGTATCCTTTCCAATTTCAAAATGCAGTACATCCATAAAGTGTACACTCATTTACACTGAATGATGCAGACTTACTTTATCAATCTAATCAGATCTTAAAACATGCAGTATGAAAAGGCCTACACAAAAATGAGAGATTGCCCAAAAATGTTTACTATGTTATTTTAGGCAGCGAAAAGGCAGTATCAAATTGTTTATTAGCAAAAAAAGAATAACAACAGACATTGGAAACCAAAAGTCAAACTCAAGATTTGAATACCATTTCTATTAATGAATGTTTAAAATCTTTAATTTAAAATCTTTATGACACAAACAGTAACATTCTGTCACTGCTTAAAATGTGGAAGGTGACTGAAGAATTATCGCCTATTCATGGCACAGATTTCCACGGATCTTGTCTTTCGATAAATGATGAACTGTTTACTCATCCCATGATGTAGGTGTGATGTTGTTCAAATGGCTTTCTGTTAAATATCCTGGAACAGCTTATGCTACCCCCACCATGTTCACACTTCACACTCTGGCAACACACTTAGTTTCACCCATTCAAACTATATGGATACAGATAAACTAATTCAGAAAAATATTGCCTGGAATGCATTCAGAAAACGTCTTAGTATTTCTCAACAAACTCGTTGAAAAAAAAACATTTACAAATTAGATAAAGTTGCAGATAAATGCATAAAATATTAACACCCATCAATAAACTACAACATTGGGCCCCAATTAACTGCAACTCTCATACAATCGAAACTATCTGTCATTAGTTCACATTGTGATTCAGTGTACAACCTAAAAATGGGAGCGAAAGTGATAATATCGGTAACCTGAGAGATTTAAGCACAGTAGCTTTCAAGAATAGAGATAAACAGACCTTAAGTTAACCATCGTGTTGCACAACAATCAGTTCAGTTTCAGCTACGTTTCACATGAAAAACCCACTTCTCTAACAGTTAGAAAATCATGTGAAGTTAGCAAAAAACAGAAGTTGGTTATATTTTAAACGAAGCAGTATGTGAGCTGATTTTATTCATAAGAAGTCCACAAGTTATAATTGTAAGAGGGGAAATTCGCGGTACAAATAAAGTGTTAAAATATTCCTCGTCAGATGGCGAAGATAGATTCAGATGGACATTATCAGGCATAACATCACATCACCATAGAAAAATCGCACTAATACAAAATAACAGCACACATATTAACAAAAGGTCTAGGTAAAGCACCCCATAAATTGAAACTTAAGGGGGTTAGGATTATGTACTGCGCATACGATGATAATAATAAGGTATGTTAAAACTACTTACCCGAACCACTCAAAACTGTAATTGAGAATTTAAGGTAATCGTTTTAGGCGATAAACAGTAATGAACAAATTAAACAAATCAATCTAATTAGATGTCTATACACAAGGCTTTATTTATTGCTTTTATTCCTTGTTTAAGGTCGTTAACATTCTTTCTTTCTTCGGTCTTTGAGTTTAGAAAACAAAAGCTTTTCTTTTCAAAAATAAATTCATGTCTACACAGTTTGAAATAGTTAACTCAGATGGGAGAAAGTTTTTTCTTTAGAAAAGCTTCCACCCATACCCAGAAATTAAAAAAAACAGGCTTATATACACGTTACCCATTAAACTAACTGTTCAGTGTTCTCGATAAGTGAACAGCTTTGTAGTTGTAAGAATTTGATTGATTTTAAAGACGTCTTAACAGTTTGAACATTTGGACTCACTGATGAGAAGAGAATGCGAATTCGTCTCTAACTCAATGGTCAATATGTTATAAAAATGTGGACAATTCAACGCATAAAAGATCCTTCATAGATATTTTTAAATCCCAACTAAATCATTTGCAGAATGTACAGTGAATAAAAAGGCCAATATACCATTTAAACTAGTATAAGTCCAAAATGACGTACAATCTGTATTTTCCCAATGATAACACCGTGATACATTGAAATACAATTCTCATCCGAATAATGATTTAGAAATCGTATAGTTCCTCGTATGTTGATTATTCCATAGGATATTCAGCAACCAATTAGGGCTTCATCGATTGTAGTGTCTAAGACGCCTCCAAAGCCTCAGGATGGTCGGGGGTGGGTGCCTTGCGCTGCGGGTTGGCCACCCCTCCGCACACCTCTTGAAATGCTCCCATATGACCGGGCGTCTTACATAACCTCTCCTGAGAAAGTCCTACTCACTGCCTTCACGTGGCGGAGGTGTTTTTCACCAAAGTGAGAGGGCGAAAGCGGATGCCCGGCGCTCTTCACCGGGTTGACTGTCCATTGGATGACAGTCTAGGGGAGATGGCTAAACCCTGATTCCAAACCTCCAACGACTGGCGTATGAAGCTCACTGGAGCTCACCGGCAGGCGTATGGACAAAGGGCTTGTTGGATGTCCTGGATGTCTGGCCCCATTCAAAAAGGCGTATGAACCGAACTCCGGTCACCGGCTGCCAATGGATAGTGGACTCCCTACTCCACTCCTACTGCCTTGTAGGTCACACTTGGTTGTGTAAAGGCTAGAGCTGCACTCTCAAACAAAAGGCCGAGCGATTCTGGGGACATCACTCGTACCAAATTCCCATGAAACTTCATGAACTCTCTTCATCAGATCGCCGCGCCTGGGCAGCGATGATTCCAGATGTTCATGAAGCCGGCTCATCCTCCCGTAGGAGATAGCCGAAGTAAAGTAAGTAAGTGTCTAAGACGTATCCTGTGCATGCCGAAACACTGCCCTTCTTGATCAGCAATGTTAGCTGTAGTAGGATTAGGTCGGGAGGAAATTAGGAGTGGTCCGTTCAAAAAATGCTACCAATCCGAGGATTTATTAACTGCTGGTCTGAACCACAGGGAGAGACACAGCCTACTTTACTAGGGCCCTAGTGGCGTTAAGAGTCAATATGCGTTGACTGTTTGAGGTGTGGTTCAAAATCGTTTACACTGGTGCAGATGTACTTGCTACTTTTCACCTTCCAGATTGAAAATTTTCTCTTATTCTCATTTAATTATTTCCTCTTCCATACAACTTCGTCCATTATAATTTCTTCTTTACATTTGTTCTTCTATTTTTGTACGTGCTTGTTTGAAATGTGGCTGCTTCAACTGAGGCAGAGATTTTTGTGCGGAGTTTTATGTTTTCAAGTCATTGAATCGCCCATCATGCAGAAATAGTGATGAATGTTTGATTAAGGCTTTATAAGCATAACAGATACTCTCAAATGTTTGTAAAGGTTAGTGAAATGTATATACCTAAAATGTGAAAATTTCCTCAGTACTCCTCATAACATCACTAACCTTACATCAGCTTGAGCACTAACTGAGCTAATTGCCCCTGATCGTTCTGTGAAAGCTGTCAAGGCTGATAATGCATTTGTACGACCCAATACTCTTTTTTTAGCCTCATCAACAATATTCCATTTGGTTTCGTTCTCTTCCGGAGCCATCAAAACATCATCATTAGAGTCACCTTGTTCTTTAGATGATTGGGATTCCGTTTTCTTAAATTTTATGTCACTTGAACATCGGGCTGTGATCATTTTCTTTAGACTCCAATAAATAGTTGTAACTAATTCCTGAAGCACTGAACTGATTCGATGATTAATGAATGGTGGTCTAATTGGATTGGGTGATTTTTCACCAACAGAATATTCATCTGTGGCAGTATAAACACCGGAATCCTTTAGAATATTTTCCTCTTCAAACAGATGGTTTGATGGATGACAGGTAACTTCGCCCAGTAATAGAGAGTCCTAGGAAGAAAAGATGTAAGAAATAGATTACTTTGTACATTCACAAAGTTTCACTAGGTAGGTATTTAAGCTAAGGGGGGGGGGGGAATATAAACAGCATTGTGACTGTAGAAGAGTGAAAACGATAGAATGACTATTACAAAAACGTTTTTAGCAGTAACTTGAAGTTTAAAAACGAATGGAATTTAATAACCGACTAGCACGCTTCATTTTTTTAATCATATTTTGCTGAAACAGATTAGTATTAGCTTCCGTCTTTAGTGCGAAAAGCAAATTTTCAAACCAACTATGCTATTCGTAGCACAAATGTAAAGAAATAGATATGAGGCTTTCCGATCTAAAACGATTTCTGCTAATTGTGACCGGTGGATCCTGAGCCGATAACTGAACAGTCGTGTACTTTCTATAGTACCTGAAGGCATCACAGTTATCATCAACAGAGGTTGGGGGTTAACACTATTAAAGCATTCCATAATCAGATAACTTCTATTCCAACTTAATATTTTATCCCACCTGTTATTTTGGTTACATTGTTTCCCTAAAAATATATAGTGGTCTATTATTGAGTAATAGAGGGTGACATAACTGATATAATTACTCAGAAGTGGCTTTAGAAGTGAAAATTAAAAGTTGTAAATTACGTGGTACTCAACGGCACAAAGATAGAAATTTGATAAGGTTAAAATTGCTATTGAGTCAGAATAAAGGTATTTGAGTGTCAATTTAACAAGTGTGAACAGGGTGTGAAAATATACAAATGGAGCATATGAGAGTGATAATAGTGAATGAATTATTAAAGCAAAAGCAAACTAAAAGTAAGATTGAAAATTACAAAAAAGAAAAGAAAAAAGTCAAAACATTTTTACAGGGAACGATTAGTGAGAAGGTTAAGACCAGGGTAGAATAAGAGACTGAACAAACTTTTTCTGTATACAGAGTTCGGGGTTGTATTGACGAATCGCCAGCGCCTCCGCCATACACAAAAGCCGAAACCTGACGCTCTTCGTACCATTTGGCTTCACTTTGTAGATGATCTTGAAAGACGATTCTGGTCAAGCTACGTGGCCTGAGTTCACCAAATACTCGAGAATTGAGTTAGTAATTGTCTTACACTGTCCCTTTGCTAACCATGCCGGATAATGTTCAGAGATGCGTTTGCAAAGCGTGCGCTTTGCGCGGGCGGCCAATATAACTACTAGCTCTACACGAGCAGGTGAATTTATAAACACACATTGAGGTGTCCCAAAGCGGCAGTTTATCCTTCACACATCCATTGATCATTTGTCGGCTGTATAAATTGATACGTAGCTCAGCCATAAAGAAGGCTTTCCTCAGTGATCTACATAAGCGATTCTTTAGGATCTCAGCTGCGGTATCACCTCTAAATTCAAGACTCAGAAATAGCAGTTTCTTCGGCACCATCTGGATTCTTTCAGGCTTTTCCCTTAACTTCATGTTTTCCTCGATAAATCTTGGAGGATATCCATTTTCTATGAGGACTTGTCTGAGTCGCTCTAGTCCCCCATCAGTCGTATTACTGGTACATATCCTTTTTGTACTTAAGGATAAGGAATGAACCAGATTTCTCTTTCTTCTCAAAGGGATACAATTATGGAAATTCGTGTATTAACCATTCCATGTTGGTTTCTTGTAGATCGGTCTTTGAAGAGAACCATCAGATCTCCTCTTTAGAAAAACATCCAAAAATGGAATTCTGAATTCATCTCTGATTCCGACGTGAATTAGATGACTGGATGGTAGCTTTTGAACTCTTAAGTTATCAATTCGATGTCGTTATTCTCGTTACATATGACGAATGTATCATCCATGTATCTTTGGTATAGATGGAAACTGTCAATAGTAGGCCGTATTATACTATTCTCCAAACTAGCCAAGAAGCAGTCTGCAAGTAAAGGACCCAATGGTGACCCCATCGCCACTCCATTTCTTTGTCTATTAATCGTGTTGTTGAACTTGAACTGGATATTTAGAGATAAAGAAAATTTTCTTCGCTGAATCTGTCTTTTATTGAATTTTAGATGTAAATATATTACATTTACAGAGAGACAGACTATCGAGAAATTCAGTGAAATAAACAAGCTGTTTCCCTAAAACCTTAATAAATTGAACTGATAAACTAATACGAAAGGTTTTTGACTATTTTGCTCAATCTACTGTAAGTACTAACAATACTAATCAATTTACATAAGATAAAAATTCAACTGATTACCAACAACAACAATAACAAAAAGTTATCATGACAAAAATCGTACTTCTTTTATTTTTTCCGCCACAAAAGAATTTGCTTCTTCAACTGATAATGAATCACTTTCGTCAATCAGTGGTTTGATCAATAGGAAAAGATGACTCTCCAAGAGTGTATCCGACATAATTTTCTGGTGAGTGAAATTAGTAAATAAGACATTCAACAGAAATAGTTACAAAAAAAAATAATGTACGATATTGAAATAGTTCCAATATTTAAAGCAAGAGCAGAATATGCACATCACTAAATTACTGAGGGTATTCGAAGTTGCATGTAGTGTGACGCATGCATTTTAGTCCCTTCGGTTATTCTTCTTTTTCATTCATTTCACTGATGTGAGCAAAAATGTATCTATTGTTTCAATTATACTTCAAATTTTCCCCCACTTCTACATTCTGTATCACGATCACTCAAGACAATATGATGTTCACGGAGTACCTGAACTTTTCCCTCATTATTTTTTTAACAAAGCAAAAATTAGTTTCTGGCTCTTTTGTTCAAAGAATTCATTTAAAGTTGGATAGAAAACAGGATAACATTCACGAATAAAACTAGAGATCTTATATTTTATAAAAATGGGTTAAAACGGACATGATAAGATATGAAACCTACGAGACTTATGAAAGAAAAAACGGGAATTTACAACAGTAATCATAAATCTGTAATACCCATAATCTGTTTATGGTGAGAAGGAAAAATTATTTGCAATCAGTTGTTTAAAATCCCATTAGTTTACCTTATAGTCGCACATAAGAACTCATATCTTATTTAATTGAAAAGTAAAGATGAAATAAACTGTGGTCCATAATTTGTGAATCATTAGTTCACAGAAACGTAACTCAGTAGTCATCTACGAGAGTTTATGAACTGCCTAACGTCTTTTGTTTGTTATCCTAAATATAACTTCAGTACTCAGCAGACAATTTACTACTACATTTGGCATTTTCGGTGTATTAATGTGATAATAAATCAATGATTAGCTAGTCAGCTATCCTAATCTTTGCTAGTCAAAGCTTTAGTGTCGCCAGTCAAAAGTTACACTTTTCAGAAGTTACTTCAGGGGTACAGCGTATAATCCCGTCTTTTCAAAACATTTTGAAGTACTCCCAATCATTAGAAATGACTGTCATGGGATTCAAATGAATTGAACGCTTATTTGAAATACTATGGTAACTTTTTCCCAATAAATGTGTACAAACTTCATTAAGCTAATGACACTCTTTACATAAGTGAGTCCGAAAATTTTCACATAAGAGATTTAGTTGAGTGAAAACACAACTAACCATAAAATCTGGTATTCATTAACTGCTATCATTTTATTTGGATGCATGTGAACTGATATTCACCAACCCAGTTTTGTAATGTGACGATCGTAAGTGTAATGCTTGCCATCGTGATTTACCACTATGAGTGTTGTTCAGAACTTCCTTCAGATAATAATTCTATCATGTCGATCAAACACTTGTGTACAGCTTACATCAAATATACGGACATAACAGTCAATTAACAAATATTACATCTATTACCCATCGATACAAATGAGAAATACACGTACTGAGTAGAAAAGCAACTTACTTTGTGTTTGGCATAGTCTCTAATTCCTGCTTCAATTTCACGACGACTAGCACACCATGCGAATGCAAGCAGTCCAACAGTAGCACGATAAGATTGAAAACAACTCCATGCATTGTTGATCGGGTTGTGCTCTTTCGTAAATCTTAACCAAATTGGCTGTCTGCCAGCAGAACTTGATATTCCAATATCGCTGTGCACCTCTGATGAGTCAGACAGAGAATTACGCTTGAAACTATCGAAAAGATATTCATTTTTTGAAACTAGAAAGTAGAAGTAACAAGTGCAAACACGGAAATGTTTTATTGTACTGCCACATTTTGCTATACTAAAACACTTCTGAATTACACGTTTGGTGCTACAACTCAGCAGAAAATACAAAGTACTTAAAATTAAAGTGAAACATCAAATAAGAAAAAAACACAGAGATGAACAAATAAGAAAAAAATTTGAACTGCTCGCAACAGAAAAGTCATGAAAACCACGTGCTACTTGTGGATTTCCAACTGTTTTACAAAGCCGTGGCCTGCATTATCTCACTGGAAAAAGAATTGTCCGGATCAAATACAAGTGATGCAAATATTTAACGGTTTCGAAGAGTTCTGGCAGTTGATTATTATCAGCAACCTAAAAATATGTGAATTCTGATCTCATACACGAATGAGTATGAATTTCCTCGAGCCTCAGTACTGTGAAGCTAGTAATCTACAGGTGTTTTATCCCCCCCCCTCGTAAAAAACAACACTGCACACCGTGAGGTTACGCATGAACAACATATCTTAATTTTCCTATCCAATAAAAATTTTTGAAGTCATAGGCTCGTACGGTATTCCTACTGAACAATACGAGTAACTGATGACCCAAGAATTGCAGCCATATTATACTTCTGAATATTTTAACTGTGTAGTAAGAAAAAGACATTATGTTGTCAAGGTCCTTAATGACTACGTAAAAATTGGATGTAAGAGAAGTGACACATAAGGTACTATACTCCGGATATATAAAAAACAGGTGGTTTTTTGCATGAGGTCTACACAGTTCTGTATATAACCGACAGTGCTTAAGTTTACATCTTTAGTATGTACTTAACTATTTATCTAATCTCAGTGACAAATTGCAAATACTCCTTTAAGGCTATTTTTATAGATCACCGTTGTCAGTACCATTAATAGGGAAGGTTAATACATTTTCGTGGAAAATATCTACTTGTTGAATTTGTTTACTCTGTATTAAGTACTACTGTCCGAATAAGTTATTAACGTTCTGCATTACCATAGTAAAGTCGTGACATTCTCAGTAGGATAAACAGGTTAAGTGTGTTTGTACAGGCACACAAATTTGCAATTTATGAACTTCATAGAATTCGAAACATTTTCGAAACACATAAAAATGCCGCAATGTATCAGGATTGTGAAAACACAAATTCTAAGCCGTTTAATCTTGGTGGCGGTCCATAAAATTACTGTAGGTGATAAATTATTTGTTTAAGCCATTTAAAACTACGATGGTTACTGAGTTATTAAACCGGGTGAGAATTATAGATACTGTCTAAAATTAAACGTGACTATATAATTCATGTTGTGCCCAAAGTTCCTGACCAAGCACTAATATAAATTTAAATCCTTTTACACACGTGAACTTACGAGCACTTCGGATGAATGTAAATTCATAGTGCGTTTGAAGGGAACAATATAGAGTATTGAAGGCTTCTTCGTCACTATTATGTCCCAGGGATAATACACATAGACTGATCTTCCTGTGATCAAGAAAATTCGCATCATAATTGATTGCGAAATTCCCCGAAAACCGTTTCGTGGGCCTAGTTTTTGGATCCAGGTTGGATGAATTACAACACCAGTCTTCTACAATTCAATCTGACCGCGGTAACTGTTGCGGCGTCAATAGCCTTGGCTCAAATTCAACGGCAAAATATTGAATCTGAGTGTTTGAATAAACCTTCATTTGCGTGAAGGTCACTTCCATGGTCATTATATAAGTTATGGTCCCTTTAAATTAAAAATTCACCATAAGCAAACGCCTCACTTTCGTTGAGAAATAAGAAGCTCTGTACTTCTGGACCTTATAGACATGGTACATAAAACAGAATTTGTATGAGTCTTGAAGCAAGCATTCGAGCAGTCGTGGTCTTTAGTAAACAGTCTAGGCACGGAAATGCTACATTGCAGTTAGTTTCTGTTGGTGCCTGGCTTCAGCCTCTGTTTCGAGCTTCTTTTAGGCTTAGTGAAACTCATAAACCATTGCAGTCCCCAGCAAAGCCACTCTTCTAGCCTATTACTGGTATGTTCCATTAGATCTTTAATAACGATGGGCCGAAATTCTAAAAAGTGTTCGTGTGAACACCAGTAATTTAGAAAATAGCACCAGCTCGTCTAATAACACATTACCACCCCTTATTATTAGTAGTTCACCCAAAATAAAAGACTCGAACATAACTCTGACCCCTGTAATACAGGTGGAAGATATCCTGTCTGAAAAGGTAGAGCTCTCTTACTTAACATGCATTATTAAAGAGATGCAGCTACAGATAGATGAATTAAAAACGAAATTAAGTTCACTAGAATGTATACCCGAAATTATCTCACTTATGAAAAAGGAACTGCAGGATCCTACAATCATAAAGCTTTTTAATATGACCTCTAGAATGACGCCTACTGACTCAGAAAATGCGAAGGAGTTAGAAAACGTCATTGACTTTCTATCCAGCGAAGTTGTTAAAAGGCTGGCTTCGAAACAAAACGGTATAGTGTATAATGTACCAGATAGTGAGCCCATAAAGTCGGTCAAGCACTCATTGCTGAAGGCTGCAAATCTCTTGAGTGCACCTTGTCAGTGCATTCGCCTAAGTAAAAGAGACCTAAAGCATCCATGTCCCATACTCTTTAGGTTCGACAGCTACATAACAGCTGAACGATTTAAGAAGGCCGAAGATCCTCTGGCTACTGCCACTAAATTCAAGACTATTAAAGTAGTCTCGGATAAAACAACTAACCAAAGGCAAGCAACCAAGAACTCCTTCGATACAAAGTTGAACACACCGAGAAATACACCTGGTATCGGTGCTAAAGCAAGTCACATGTATAGTGTTGGGAAAAAAATCGGCAAGTAAAAGCGACTCGAAACTCAGTAAGAGCAGTGTCACTGGGTGCAATCTTAAAGTACATGAGAGCACATCTGTAAAACCTGCTGACATACATGAGGTTGATATTGACGCACAAACTATGGCTGGCCAGAAACCACTGGCAGACCACACTCAGTCTGGATGCAAGCCCGAGAGTCCCGCAGTAGAAACTGCAAGAAAGACGACAAAGCCTAGAGTCCCACTCCAGACTTCGACCTCCCTCTCAATAAGTCTAATAAGCAACATGTCAGTCTAAAAAATGACAACGCATGGGTAACAAATCATATTCCCAAAAACGTCATCCATCATGTGAATGAGAATACCCCTTCCCGAACTAGGAGTATGTTATGTATGTGAATATTATGACCTGGTAGACTACAAGCGAATCACCTGTGTATATATCAGAGAAATATGCCTAGCAATGCACATAACTTGGGAATGCAACGTAGAATGGATCATCAGCATATATGGAGCACTAAACGGGACTCATATAGGCACCATATTAATGAATATTCTCGTGCAAACTCTCACACTATCTATGTTAAACCTCAGCAACATAACGAGTATAGATCGACACTTGACCCTCTCAATAACTTCACTCACACATGTGATGTGAGCCAATATGCATACGACTATGAAAGACCCATGAGGTACAACTACCAACGTAATCTTAACACAGGGTACCTAGGTCAGGCAAACTATATATCACCAGTAAATGAACGCAGATGCCCACCCATGGATGCTAAAAGTCAAAATATGCAACAGGATTATTTTCGGATGCAGCAAACAATAGTCCCACTCATTGCACAATTCATCCAGGAAATAGTACACACACTGACTCTATCTCACCTCAGAGCCCCTCCAAACATAACGTGGGGATAGTAACAAGTAACCATGTTAACCTCTCCTCCAATAACTCTGGTTTACTAACGATTGTGCTCCTGAATGCTAGATCCCTCCTTAATAAAATAACGTCGCTTCGCTGCCCGACATACATAGAACGGCCAACACTAATAATGGTGACTGAAACCTGGCTTACTACTGATATACCTGACTCAAAGCTAGTAATAGACAACTACGACATCTATAGGAACGAAAGAGTTGACAAAAGAGGAGGCGGCTGCTTAATATATGCCTCTAAATCCACTAACTCCAATACTTTTAATAACCCAACTACTGACAAACTCCCTGAATCTAAGTGGATAAGCATCCACACAAACGAAAATAAAATTCTCGTGGGATGTATAGCCCTGAAATGACTGATATAACTATTGGAGAAATACTAGAGCATGCAGCTACGCCGGACTTTAACTACAAAGTAGTCTGTGGCGATTTCGACTTACCTGGAGTAAACTGGGATACCTGTACAGGACCTAGAATCCATGACGAGCTACTGCAAGCTATAGACGTAGGCGGATGGAAGCAGTGCGTACGCCTCCCTACAAGAAACAAAAATACTCTTGACTTAATCCTCTGTCATGAAATAGAGCCCATCTCGATAGAGGTAGGAAATAAACTTGATAACAGTGATCACAACATATTGTACTGCACGCTACCCCTCCGACTAACAACTAAACACACACCTAAAAGTTCCCCGGTGCACTATCAATATAGGGACTATAAGAATGCCGATTGGGAATTCCTATCAGATCTGTTGAGAAGTTCTGACTGGGAAGAACACTTCATCAACAATAACATAGAAGCATCACTTGAGATTTTCTACAAAACAATTGGCTCAGCAAGAGACACAATCGTGCCCCTAAAATCTGCTCTAAAGACACCAACTCCATTTATAGACCGCAAAACACGACTAAAGCTAAAGAAATTGAAAAGGAAATACCATGTATTTAAGGAGTTTAATGCGTTAAACCAAATACATGAAACTCTTAAACTGCTTGAAGATAAACACAAAATGATGTCACAACTTGAAGAAAATAAAGCGCTTGTGGGTAACTCCAAAACTCAGGAACTTTGTAGGATATTGCAGAAACGTCTAAAAAGCAGTAAAGACAATACTGTAAGCAGCTTGGAACATAAGGGTATAATATACAATGATCCCCAGGTTAAAAGTGAACTCTTCAATGAGTGGTTTTGTAATGACGCCAGAGTGCACCCTACCCAAAATTTCCAAATGACCTGCAAAAGTAACCACAAATTAGGCGAAATAGACTTTAATATACAAAATATAGACTCAGCGAGTAAGACTTTGGAGTCTAATGGTAGTACTGGAACAGACGACATACCATCTGTCATATACAAAAATGGTAGCACGGAAATGGTAGTCTTGTTACTTAGAATATTTACTCTGCCGCTAGAAACTGGAACTTATCCTGAAGTGTGGAAAACCACACACATATTACTTAAGCACAAAGCAGGGGCCAAAACCAGTGCATACAACTATGGACCTATCAGTATAACACCGGTAATATCCCGAATAATGGAGAAAGTGGTTAAAGACCAAGTGTCAGACAACTTACTAGAACATGAACTTATCAATCAATCACAACACTGATTTCTCAAAAAGAGATCATGTGTGACCTGTCACACAGACTTTTTCAACGAAGTTACACGAAGTAGGGACAACAGAGAACTAGTAATTGTGCTATATTTTGATATAACAAAAGCCTTCGACAGATTTCCCCATAATCTGCTACTCAGCAGGTTATGCTCACTAGGCATATGTGACCCTCTCCTGAGCTGGATAAAATCATTTCTCTGTGGCCGAAGTCAGACAATGAAAGTTGGCCCGATAATCTCAAGGCCTAAATCAGTAAGTAGTGGT